AGAGGTAGGAACATAATCTTCGAGACCTAAATAATGTTTGGATACAGGAGTTAGAGCACAAGAAGGCACTACTGGGATGTTACTATTATATTCATGATGTGGAAGGAAAGGAGGGGGAAGAATGCTAAACCCATAGGGGTCATAAAGCACCTTGGGGACAGGAAGTACAATTCCAATTCCTCAGATTAAGAGCTCCCACCATTGATTGACTCTGGAGTAGATGCAAGGTTTTCTCACTTTCCTTAAAGAAAACAAGGCACCTGTGAGAATATGAGGTGTGCTTCTCTGCAGAAGAAAGGCAATCACTATTTGGGTTATGCATCGTCTTCCCAAGATGAGACATTTTGCCTATGACCTGCATTATTATGGCAGGTGGCAGCAGCAGCAACAATTGCAATATTATTATGACTCACAAAATCGTAATGACACGATTGCAAACAAACCATTCCATGGGTGGGATTTGAACCCGCGGTCAGTCTCAAAACTCCAGACCGTTGCGTTAGCCACTGGGGCAGCTAGCTTCAATAAGATTCGTCCAACTAGGTGTATTTCTACATCATAGGAAGGTGCTAGCTGGCCCAGTGGCTAACGCGACGGTCTGGAGTTTTGAGACTCTCTGACTGCAGGTTCAAATCCCACCCGTGGTATGGATTATTATAATCAAGGGGGAAGCGCTAAACCCGTAGGATTATACAGCACCTGTGGGAGGGATGGAAGATATTCAGGGTTAATTCAGGGAACTGGAGCACAGATCCAGTTCCCAAGATCAAGAGCCCCTCACCAGCATCAAGAAACCTTCCTTGAGAGGTCAGCAACAATTGCAGTATTGTTGCCAACATTATTTTCTTCACATGAAGTGCTAAACCTGCAGGGGGTTATATACAGCATGAGGAATGGGAGGCATTCAAGCTCATTCCAAGGAAGGGAGGATAAGTTTCAATTCTATCATTGCTAGTTCGAGCCCCTTCACCTTCAAATGTTAATCTGCAATGTACTATACCAAGGAAGTGAATAGCCATCAAATATCAATTTTGCTATATTAATCTAGTATTTTCTCCACATGTGAGCAGGGCAGACATAAGTGTCCACTGATGATTGAGGGGCACTGATTCTAATTACTGTACATATATCCAAAGCACAGTCTTCAAAATTTTTCAAAATAACCATGTAATTATTACGTGGAAGGGAGATGGGTGCACTAAACCTGTAAGTCATACAGTGCATAGTGGAATGGAAGGTATTTACCACAGGATCAATCCAAGGAAGGGAAGCAGTACAACCATACTAGCACAAGAACTCAACACATGTTAACCAGAGCATCTGCTTTTTCACTTTGCAAAGTGGAATTCACATATGATCAATTATGCAGACACTGCAACACAACAGTATTTTGATATTATTATTATAATCAAAAAGAAGCGCTAAGCCACAAGGGCTATACAGCAGTATTTTGATACAGAAGGCATTTTCGATAAATCTTTTTTTTTTTGCCTGACCACTAGTTATGAGTGAGAAGAGTTGGATTTGAAAAGGACCTACCCAGTTGGCTTGCTACACTGCTTCTCAGGGATTACATTCTCACTTTCTACTAGTGGGCCTCACCTGTCCTATAGTCAAATTATCTGCACCTCACCTTTGTCAGCATACAAGTCTCCATTCTGTTACTTCAGCTTCACATTGTTCCAGACTATGGAGCAGAACTCTCCTCTAGACAGAGGGACTGACCACCTCAAAATTAAGTCTGAGAGTGATGAACTGATTACATTGCTTTTATACCTCTACTGCTTCTGCTGCCTCCTCTGTATTCAACTGAAGCATACTGTGCAAGCAAAATGTTTCGAAAGAAATATCCCCAACTGTTGCATGTCTTAATTTTCAGCCTAACGTGTATTCACACCATTAGCATTATATAATCATGTAGGAGTGCTAAACCCATAAGATTATACAGTGCATCAGGGGAAGGGATGGGATGGAAGGTATTCAGGCTCAATTCAGGGAACTGGAGCACAGATTTAATTTCCTAGATCAAGAGCCCCTCACCAGCATCAAGGAACCTCCCTTGAGGGGACCATTAGCATTACCCATGACTGTCCAACACTACCCAACCCTCAAAATGCTGTATCACTTTATAAATGCTATATAACACCGAAAGGTTGAATAAAGCACGTATGCAACACTAGGTATCTGTCTTGACAAAACACTGTGCCTGTGCTGCAGTATAATAAGAGTAATGAATTACAATCCTGGAGAGGGTATACGAAGTGAGGAAGTAGTCTGAGGTAATCAATGCCTCAGCCTTGAAATACTAGGTTTTAGCCTAAAGCAAATGAATAAGGCCAATACTTTCATATCAAAACTAGTTGTAACAACATTTGTCAGTACTGTACATCACTTATAATAAACTTTAACATAGAAACACAGTACCTTGGTACAGGGGATATATTTAGCAACTCTTCTGCTATTATATTATTATTAGACATGGAGGAGTGCTATTATTTTAATCATAGCTAAGCACTAAACTCATAAGGGAACGAGTGCTAATATCATACAGGTTATACAGTGCCTGAGGAAGTGGAAGACACTTAATTCAAGGAATTAAGAGCACAGGTCCAATTCCTTAGATCAAGATCCCCTTACCAGAATCAGGAAACCTCACTTGAGGGGTAACAACTGTTCAGCATGACCTACTTCCACTAGTGGGCCCAGCTCACCTGTGACCTTACCTCCAAGCTGCTACACCTCCCTGGTATATAATCTAAAGCCTCATTAAATTTGCTTTAGGCCAAGAGATTATCTTTTACCAAGACCAACGAATAATTACCTCCAACTACCTCTCTGCTTCATCTACTGTCTCAGGGTTTGTAGGTCATTCCTTAATTCAAGTGAAGCCTGCAGCACTGGCCAAACATTGTCAATCACAATAATATAGGCTAATTAAGCACTAAACCAGAAAGTTGCAGTGCTACAGGGAGGGGGGGGATGTGTAGGAGGAATACATAGAAGGTTGGAGGAAGGGTTTGCAAAGGTAAGGGTAGAGTGCAAGACAAATTAAAATTAAAGATGGTGCAATTACTTAATTTGTTAAAAAGTTGAAGAGGAAGTCTGCATCAAAGTTTGGACTTTCAGCAAGGTTGTCAGTCAGTGTTCTGGTCACATCAGAAATGAATTCTGCACGCTCACTGATAGACAGGACCATCTCTTGAGATGTGGTGAACTATCAATGCAGCCTGACAGTCCTCACAGAGCAGTGCCATATATTTTTCCACGAAGTATTTGTTAGGCGCACGTGGCCAATACAGACAAGAAAGTGCAGTCTCCTAAACACAACAGCGGTGAGATAGCTAGAAACCTAAACACGGTTTGACAGAAAGCCATTTTTTTGTGGTCCAACTTTGACTACCGTTGTTGCCAACAGTTGCAGTTATTGAGAGATTATTGAATAACAGTAAGAATTTTTTTTTTTTTAACAAGTCAGCTGTCTCCCACCGAGGCACGGTGGCCCAAAAAGAAAGAAATTCCCATCATTCAACACTTTCACCTCACTCACATAATCACTGTTTTTGCAGAGGTGCTCAGAATACAACAGTTTAGAAGCATATACCTATAAAGATGCACAACATATCCCTCCAAACTGCCAATATCCCAAACCCTTCCTTTAAAGTGCAGGCATTGTACTTCCCATTTCCAGGACTCAAGTCCGGCTATATAAAAATACGTAACTGGTTTCCCTGAATCCCTTCACTAAATATTACCCTGCTCACACTCCAACAACTCGTCAGGTCCCAAATACCATTCATCTCCATTCACTCCTAACATGCTCACACACGTTTGCTGGAAGTCCAAGCCCCTCACCCACAAAACCTCCTTTACCCCCTCCCTCCAACCTTTTCGAGGATGACCCCTACCCTGCCTTCCTTCCCCTACAGATTTATATGCTCTCCATGTCTCTACTTTGATCAATTCTCTCATGACCAAACTACCTCAACAACTCCTCTTCAGTCCTCTAATACTTTTATTAACTCCACGCCTTCTCCTAATTTCCACCTGTGCGAAATGGGGGATGTCATAAACAGCTGACCAAGCGGCTGAGTGTGTGTTCATTACCCTGAACATTAAAGTGTCCAGGGATCTAGAAAAATTATGACGCCTTTGTTTGCAAGAAATGTGACATAACCAAAGTTGTATACAACAAACAATGGGATGAAGGTACTAAAATTTCTGGATAGTCTGTAATGCATTGTAGGAGTCTGGAATAACTATGAGGTATCAATTTACCATAATCATAATTAAGCGCTAAACCCATAAGGGTCATACAAGGTATTAAAAGTCAGCTGGGATGCTGGCACGGAAGTCAATGAGGTGTTGCAATATAAGCTTTGAAGAAAGACCTGTGGACAACTAAGGGTGCCACTGGGATAAGGGGGTCTGGGAGGAGGTAAAACATGAATACAACTCTCCATAATTAAGGTCCTCGTTTCTCTTTTTTCATAAGAAAAGGGGGATGGGGAAAAAAGCAGCCAAGGAGAAACCCGAGCCCATACATCCCCCTCCTCAGTGTGACAAGCAGTGCTGATACTGCATGGATACATACTTAATATTGTAAGTGTCTTACTCATTTCAAAGTGGAGTGTTCGTAGACAGTTACAGATACTTGCAGGGGACAGGTGTGCAAGTGTATCCTTAATGAATATAAGCCCATTATTATTAGAATAAAAAAAAGGCTAAGCCAAATATAAGCCCAATGAGTACAAATACTCTATTACTTGATCAACAATACACAAGGATTCACTCAGTGAGAACCTACCAAGGTAGGTTAGGTTTGCCTAGTTCTTCCTGTAACGTGATAAAATTTTCCTGAATTAAAGTTCCCATTTAATCAGAACTTGTTCCGTCTAGATGTCCTTGATTTACTCTGTAGCTTACTATCTTTCAAATAGTAAAAAAAAAAAAAAAAATAAATCTTTGTCCCATATACAGGACTTAGAAATAAAATGATAATAAACATTTCTTCAGATATTTAATATTTCACTGTCCCAAAAACAATGAACACTTGTGTTTTCACATGGCACGACTGGTGTGTAATTTGGGAATAATGTGACATTGAGTTGTTTTATTAAAAATGTACATACATACAGCAATATAACATAGCATATGGACAAAAACGTGCATATTTATTAGTGTAAACAGAACAAAGAAACTTAGATAAAAGATCTGAATGAAATCATAAATAAGGATGTAATATATCATGCAATACATTCATCCCTTGATGACAGCTATTGGTCGAAGCTTGATGCATTTCTTGCTGATTCCTGCCGCATGACACGTGTCAACAACATCGGTAACATTCTTGTACGACTCTGGAGCCTCTTCCATGACTAATTTTGGGGAAGCCACTCTGATGCTTATGCCTTGTTCTTGAAGCTTAATTAAAACATCAGTGTAATCCAGGTTTCTGCGAGACTTGGCACGAGAGAGAGCGCGACCCTGTGAAAACAGTTGAAGAATTTATTACATAAAATTCAGAAGGCAATTAATTAAGCATCTTCAAGAAACTGAATTAATAAAAAAATTCAACACTATCGAGTGTTAATTTAGATGACAAATGCGTTACATAAACCTAAAGTGATAGATCTAAGGCCAAGCTGCAAGAGAGGAAGACCCCTTGAAACTGCTCACTTGTACACTTCTATGAGTGTCCTCAACAAATTGCTTTTAATGACACACATGCACATGCAGTCATGTACTGTATATGCATGTGCACACACGCACACATGCACACACGCATGCATGCATGCATGCACGCACGCACACACTTGCACAAAAGGGTGAATACAAACATGCAGGTGCAATAAGGTGCATAAAAACAAAGGTACAAATACCTGCTCAAACAGAATAAATAAATTTATTTACTTAAGTACGTATAACCTAAATGACTTTCAATTCAATGTTACCTAACTCACAGTCACCACCTACATGTGTGTTTGCTGCTGCTGCTGCTGCTGCCTTCAAGGAACCTGTCCTCAAGAAGCAACCTACCAGATACTACTAGCCATACATCAACCCTGGCCGTAAAATGCGAGCCAGAATTTTAAAGCAACGAATAATTAGGACAGGATTATCATTCTGAGCAAATTTATTTAGTAAAAAGAAATTAATAATACTGGACAACAAAAAGGTTGCCTACTGCAGAGGTAGATATACAAATCTGTTAGAGGTGGTAAATGTATACAGCTTATTGGAGGTAAATATACAGCAAATGTCTGATAAAATGGACTTTCCCCCTAAAGCGGCTGAAACAGACAAAGGCTCAACATGCATGTTTAATGGGGTGTACGGCTAGAATAGCCATGAAGCAGACCAACTCCACTATATCGAATAGCTATCTGGTTCAGTCATGCATTTGATAAAATGGACCGACACTACTTAATTCACAAGTTTGTATGGTCCAAGGGTTATCCTGGGCCCATCCAATCTCACTGTTCCTGGGCAGTAGGGCCAGTGATTGCCTGGGTTAGTGTGTTATTGTCTGCACACACGCTCACACCATTTCATCTCCAATTTTCCTCTAGATTTACTGTGTTTTTATCATTTTATTTAAGTACAATATAAGTTATCAACAATGGCCTTCAAAGGGAAGTGACAGTGCAAAAAAGAAGCATGTAACCTTAACTAAATTAATGAGAAAGCTGGAGGTTGGTGTTTCAGTAGCCCAGATGTGTAAGGGGAGTATGGCATAGCAAAACAAAGTTCTTGGTACCCTCATAATTGAGGAGGATAATGATGATAATGATGATGAAGAGACAGGGGTCACCAAAACTGTCAGCAGTATGAGATGTGATCGATTTTCTCATCGCATACACTGACCTCTCAGACAAGAGAAACGCAGGCTTATTATCAAAACTTAACACTTTTAGGGAAACTGTCACAAGGGAAAAGCATCAGCATGCTAAACAAATTAAGCTGGATTCATTCTTTAAACCTGTTCCTCATTCTACATCTCCCAAACCATCTACCATTAAGCCTGAGTCATCTATGTCTCCACAGCCATCTACATCTTCACCATCTACCTGTCTTCCACACCATCTGTAATGTAGCTACAGGAACTTTACAACTCCATTGGTTCAGGGTAAGTTATTTTGAATTACCACTAGACTTCATGGGAATACTGTACTGTATTGTACATCTATCCACCAGACAAGGGAAGAAAAATTACTATACTGTACTCTATTGTACTGTGCTGTACTTTTAACTCATTTTCTTTTCAGATACATTTAGAGGTAATACTGTATTGTACTCTAGTTTATCTTTATTATGTTCAGTAGTCCATCAATACAGCAGACTAAGTCAGTTTTGTTGAGCATTTGTCCATGTCCAGTAGTTGACCAATTAAGCAACTACAAAAAAAAAAATTATTTCAATACATTGGCATACGTCCCATTTAACAATTTTGGAAAACTGACATCAATAAACTACTTATAAAAAGCCTCTTGTTAAAAAAAACATTTCGGGCACCCTTTAAAAATACCTTATAATTGAAAGACAATGAAAATTTCCACTTAACTGAAACTTTTCAATGAAAGGGAAATTTTCGATAAATACACACTCCTCCCCCTATTAATCCATTTTATTGGATGTTTACGTATTAAATTTAAATTGGAGGAAAATATATTTTGACTGTTTTTGGGGGTAAATGTTTAAAACTTCCTAATATTAAAACCCCTTTTGGGAAACATAAAAGAATTTCATTCTTTTTTTGACGTTTTTGTTAGTTTAAAAAATTTGGTTATCTTTATTTTGGTAGACATTTTCCCAAGGTTTGGCTTTATCAATACGGGGACTTTTTTTGTGAAGATAAAAAATACTCAGAAAAAAACGTGGAATATGGGGTTAATCAGCCCCTCAGCCTAGGAGCAGGGTGATGAGTACCATGGCCTTGAAGAATCGAAGCAAAGGGCGGGGAAAACCTGACCCCTTTTTAAAAGTACTGGCATCAGATGAGGTGCACCCAGACGAAGCCACGGGTCATTTAGGGGGTGGGTTTTCCCCAAGGGAAGGGCAGGTCATCCAAGAGGGGGGCCCAAAGAGGGGTGTTGAAACCCCCTAAAAGGGGGGTTAAAATTGATTTTTATGTATATATAATGTATTTTCCCTTTTTTCTTTTAATTTTATATTGCTTATATTGCGAAAAATAGCTAAATCGCAAATGTATGACTTTATATTATTTTTTGGACTTTATATTTTTTTTAGCTTATTTTGTTAGGATATATATATAATTTTTCTCAGTTGTCTTGTTGTCAAATACTGTAAAAATCGTTTGGGCCTGTTTACTGCCGGCTTTGGTTTGCACTTGTCCGGGCTTTTCACGTGTTTGGGAGGGGGGGTGCCCTTTCCCTCTGGGGAAGTAGTCATTTGGCTCTAGATTCTTGGTGGTTGGACGTTTGTCTTTTCTCATTTTTCTTGTTAGTTTGTAGAACTTTTTTTCACAGAAAATTGTAAGACTTTGTGATTTTCGATTTTTCTGGGGTTTGGGGTTTTGTCGCTTGAACTCGGGTATCTCAGGTCCTTAGCTATAGCTTCTAAACCAAATTTTGAAAGGGTTCCTGTGTATTGCCCACGTCCACGGGTTTTCTATGCGAACATAGATTCAGTATTAGGGGAGTTTGTAACTTTTGTGGAGGTTTGGCAGATGGCCCCTATTAGTGTGTTTTTTTTTCTCCTGTTCCTGATTCTGTTTTTGAAAGTCGTTTTGATTTTGCATTGCTTTTGGGGCTTAGCATTCTTTGTTGTTCAACCCGATTTTTTGGGGTTGCCGGGCGGTAAAGGGATGTTAGTTTTTTGGGACTTTGTCAGCCCTTTTTTTAAAGCCCTTATTCGGTTTGGGACATAGCTAACTACCTAAAGCACTTTACACGCATACACATTTTACTTGTACATATTTGTAATTCTTTTTAAAATTTTAAAATGAAACCGGGGGTTACTTAAAAATTTAAAAATTTTGTGATAGTGCTTTCAGCAAAATTAATTTTAAACTCGAGAAAATTGTTTTTTTTTTGGGGTTTGTTGTGTTTTAATTTTATTTTTGATTTTTTAACCTTGAAATTTTCTACTTTTTAAAATTTAAAAATTTTAAAATTTCTCTAGTTAGTCCCTTTACCAGTTGTAATCCTAAGCACTATTGAACCATACTAAATTTTTAAAGGAAAATTTGGGAAAAGGATACTAAACTAGGGTTACAAAAAACCCCAGTAACAGGCGGGGATGTTTAGAAGGGCGGGCCTTTTTTTAGTTTTTCACTGGAGATCTCTAAGTTTTTAGAATCGCTTTTTTTTGTAACTAAGGGGGCCTGCCCGGGATCTCTTGACCCAAGGTGTTGGAAAAAATTGTCCAGTTTGACATCTAGACCTCTTGATAAAACCCTTTTTGAGTACTTTCCAATCTGAAGACTTTGATTTTTGTCTTGAAAACCCCATACCAGGTGGATGTATGTCCCCTTGGGGGGAGCCCTTTGCCCCAAAAGGGGGATGGAATACTGTTTTTTTGCTCTAAGCAAAAAACACTAAAATTCCTATCAAGTTTTATATTTTCCCCCAAAAATCACTCTCTCTTTGTACAATTTTTTTCGTGTTTTTTCCCAAAAGGGTGAAACGGGTTAAATTTGGGTTACTCTGATTTTGTCTGGGGGTTAAGTACTTTAAAACTTCAGCGTGTTGGAAGTAGAAAGTTTCCCCGGTGTGACGTATAACGGGAATTACACCGAAAAAAACTGTCAGAGCATTAATTAAAGATTTTTTTGTTTCCTGTCATACAGGGGATGTCTGATTATAAATTCGATTAAAAAAAGTTGGGTGTCACAATTAGGAGTTTGACTTTTTGGGATGAAGATGAAAGGGCAACTAGGCGAAGGAGCCTCGTTCTGACCCCTAGTGTAGCTCAGTTCTCATCACCCCCTTCCCGCCTCACTGACACTTTTTTTACGGGTTAGCTGTTGTATGAAACGGGCCTAATATGTACAGTGTATGTTAAAACTGTTTTTACGTACCCTAGACAGATCTAGACACACTAGGACGGGGGACCAAGGGGTCGACCTAAGGCCGCCCAGACCAGGGTTAAATTTTTCCTACTCCTCCATTACCACGGGTCCTATCTTCAGGAACAGTTTGAAGGTTTGAACGTCTTTATGTTGCGGACTGCACTTTTTAGAGGCACGGGGAAAATGAACGAAGAAGTTTTCCAAAGAAAAAAATGTTGGGCTTTTAAAGAAAAAACAGATTGAAAATATCACGGGTACATTTAATGTGCAGAAAGCTGAAATTTTTGGGTTTCCTAAGTTTTTTTAAAAAGTGATTTTGACACTTTTTTTTGAGGGTGTTTGAGAACCAGGAAAGTGTTTATGAATTTGGGCCCGAAAAGCACGGGGTAAAATTTGCTGCATCCCAGCGTTGACAGGAAGAGCTAAAAACTTGTAGGGCTGCTTTGCCATTTAA